GTGATAGACACAAGTAACAGCTCCTCCTCTCCAAAGGCCCTCAGAGATCCATATTATCCTTACTTCTCTTCAATAGCAACATGAGACCACTGGGAGACAGAGACATGGTAGAGGCTTAGTTGCCCATGCTGTCGACTCTCAGCTATATATCTCATTCTCAATTGATGCAATCACCACCGTTACTATAATGTTAGAAATCCTACAGGAAATTAGTTATTGGATGAAGACCAGCTGGCTCAAGCTGAACCCAAGTACAACTGAAATGATACTGGTTGGAAACTGGCCAAGATGCTCTCTCCACCTTCCAGTGAAGGCATATAGCTCTCATTCATCAAAGTGGTGTGAAACCTCAGGGTCCTTTTTGACTCTTTGTTAAATGTGGATGACCAGGTATCATCAGTTTCCAAAAATGCCCTCTTTCACCTCCAGCTTGCTAAGGAAGTTCATTGTTTCCTCCTGGATGAGGACCCGGCTGCAGTGATCCAAGCATTTGTCATCTCCAGGTTGGATTACTGTCACTCACTGTATCTGAAGCTGCATGGGTTCCAGCTTGTGAAGAATGTAGCTGCCAACTTTCTCCATAAGTCAAGCCACTGTAAGTCCATCAGGCCCATGCTCAAGTCCTTCCATTGGCTCCTAGTCAACTTCCAATGCCAGTTTAAGGTTTTGGTCATCATTTTGAAAGCAATTTATGGATCAAGCCCCAGATACATCAAAGAACAAATTTAAATCTGTGACCCACTGCAACAGCTGTGCTCTTTTGGGATGATGCAGATCGCAAAGCCCCAGATGGAATGCCTGAGAGCTGGGATAAAGCATTCTTGGCTGAGGGAATCAGACTATGGAATAGTCTTCCCGAGGAGATCAGACACATCCAGTCTGACTGTGTTTAGGAAATGTTGCAAAACTTTTGAGAAAACTATTCTACTGTGACACACAATATGAACATTCTCTTCTATTTCCAACCCCTGCCACCTTAATAAAAATACAAAAAAAAAAGCCAAGCAAACAAAAACCTTGCCCCAGGCAGTGTTTCAACCGCAAAAAGGAAGAAGTGCAAGAGACTCCATGAAGTCCACCAGGGACTTCGCTATTGCTATTGATTTTATGCAGAAGGCACTCAGATACTACAGCAACTGTTGGCTGTATCAAAGCCTATGGGCTTGTCTACACTTGAAGCGCTACAGCAGTGCTGTTTCAGTGTAGACACGACTTATGCCAAAGGGAGGGGTTCTGCATCGTCAGAGGTAATCCACCTCCCCGAGAGGTGGTAGCTAGGTCGATGGGAGAATTCTTCCGTCAACCTACCGCTGTCTACATGGGGACTTCGGTCGGCTTAACTATGGCTATGTCTACAGTAGAAACCTTATAGTGGCATAGCTGCACCGCTATAAGGTCTCCCGTGTAGCCGCTCTATGTCGGCAGGAGAGCATCTCCCGAGCGCTGTCCACACCGGCGCGTCTGTTCGAGACACTTATATCGATCGGGGTGTGTGTTTTTTTCACATTCCTGACCAACAAAAGTTTTAGCGACAAAAGTGCTAGTGTAGATATAGCCTTAGGCACTCAGGGATGCGGATATTTCATGTCCCCTGAGTGACATAGCTGGGCTGATCGAATTTTCTAGTGTAGACTAGCCCTAAAATAGATGGATAAGACAATAGCACTAGCAGGAGCTGCTCTGAGTGGCTGCTTCAGGCAGAGAGGGGAGAGAGTATCTTTATCCTTTCCAATGAGGAAAAAATGGTAAGGGATAGGACAAGTCATCTTTGACTGTTGGTGATGAACTGACTGGGGGAGAGAAGTGTGTGACTGAACTGGAGGAAGAGAGGAGGACATGTATGAGAGTAGGAGAGGGAAGAGAAGAGATTAAAGCGCAAACTAGAAGGGGAATCAGGCAAACATATAATACTTCAAAATGTAGAACCTTCCCATCTGCAAGAGTATTGGGGAAGATTTCCTCTCCCAACAAATTAAATGGAACCCCTGAGTTTATATATGTTGGCTACAGCATGGAACTAACACATTTCTTTTGGTGTCAAACAAATATTCAGGTTTCCTCCTTTCTCTGTTAAAAACTTAAAAAAACATTTTGCAGTTCTAGCATAGAAAAGAAAGGAAGCAGAGGAGGTGGGTTGGGAGTGAAGGAGGGACGACACTAAAACTTCACTGAGGACAAGCAGAAAAATTAAAAGATAAACAACCATGGAAATTTAACCTTTACAGTGCACTGTTTTAAAGGTCACAGTATCATTTCCAGGGATGCCTGGAATTATCAATTTTCATGAGTATCAGGTGTGAAAGAAATCAAGAAAATAGGAAAATGAACATTCAAAATTTGACATTTACTTGCCGTTTGCTGTATTACCAAGTGGCGCTGCTTTAGGTAACAGAGAAGGTCCTGAAGCTACTGTAGAATAGAATACCGTGGGCTTGATTCTCATCTCACTCACATGAGTATTAATTAGGCATAACTCTACTGAACTTGGTGAGGTTACGCAAGAATAAAACTGGTGTGAGATCAGAATCCAGTCCTGTACATACATTTCTTTGTGTGTAACAAATATACAGTCCATTCCCTCTAAGTCCTTATCACATAAGTGCATAGTCTGTTCATGTCCTTAGTAATCACCTGGTCAGTCTCGTTCCCTTGGACCTCATGTAATCCCAGTCCCTTTACGTGGACAGAGTATTATGTTGAAGTGCATACTGAAAGCTACCCTCATCTGCACACTGTCTCTGGATAATGCATACAAATATGCACAGCATCAGCTAAATGTGCAAACATGGGGGTTGAGTGGAAAATGTCAGATTACACAACAGCACTCATATAGTGTCAATTTTCGGTTACTAGAAAAAGCATTTGCCTACAGTAAAGATTTTTAACTCAAGTTAACTGATTTCTAGCTAACCTGAATTAGCTAACACATTTGTACATGCTAGTCTTGGCACTCCACAAACATTTGTACCCTGGAACATACAAATGTGATAGCTAATTTGAATTAGCTGGCAATCAATTAACTTGAGTTAAAAACTCAAGGGTGACCAGAGTTTAACCAATGAAACAGAGGTGAAGGACCCCATGGAGAGGATAGTTTAGTCAGGGAATAAAGCATAGGAGTTGGAGCTGGTAGATCTGCTGCTAGTTTGTTTCCACTGACCTCAAGCAAATCATTTAATCCCTGTTCCTCAGTTTCCTCAGCTTCAAAAAGGGAATATGAAATGATCTGCCTCAATAGGGTGGTGTTGCCATAATTAATTCATTACATTTTGCAAAGTACTTTGGGATTCCAGTCCTATGATTCTATGATTGTATTTCCACAGAGCTTGCTTATAAAGTATTTTTTTTATTATTATTATAATATCTCATTAACAATTCCCTAGTGAGCTTCGCATGGACTGTTATTTTTTGTATGGATTTATATTCCAAATTTATGTCACAGGCACCTAGAGCCTGGATCTGACAATTTTTAAGGAATTATAAAGCACATAAATAAAATGATCCAATCCTGATAAAATGCAACTTCTATTTGTACAAGGTAATCTGTCCCCATCCTCTCTCTCAGTGCTATATGACAGACATATTAATTATAAAGTGGATGAACATTGTGGAAGAAGAGACTACTCAAGTAAGGACATGAGTTGAATAGTGAAAGAGCCATTGGATATACTGCAAATGAAAACCAAAGGGCTACCTCAGTGCCCACTATAATTGACACCATGACCAACATATTATGTTGAATTAGGAAAGCAGTAATGGAGAATTTTACATCTGACTTTTTCAAAGCTCAGCAGGGGGTATTCTGTGGTTCAAAAAAATCTTTTTATTTTTATTTTTAAAGGAGATTGATTGCTTCAGGCCCTCGTCTCTCTCAGCTTTATTTTCAAAAATTGGTGGGTCCATTTACTCATTCAAAGATGTAAATGCAAATGCACAACTAATGCATAATTCACAGACACAGTCACTTTTATTGCTTGTGCAAACTGGACAACTGCAAGTTCTAATGACCAGTTAGATAAGTAACTCACATGCCTTATCCCAATTCACTTGAATCACTGAGATAATTGCACAAACGCATTAGGTGCATAACAGCACAGTCCCTTTTTGCATGCATAATTGCACAGGACTAATTTTGAAATGAGGCCCCAAACGTTTCAGTATACCAGGAGTGAAATGGCCTCGGATGACACAGTAATTTAGAATTCACATTGTCCAATGCTTTTGTCTAGTGCAGGGGTCGGCAACGTTTGGCATGCAGCTCGCCAGGGTAAGCACCCTGGCGGGCCGGGCCAGTTTATTTACCTGCTGATGCGGCAGGTTCGGCCGATCGCGGTCCCCACTCGTCGCGGTTCGCCGTCCCAGGCCAAGGGGGGCGGCGAGAAGCGGCGCGGGCCAGG